ATAGAAAGTAACGAGTCTGAAAAATGGATTGATGCCATGATGGAATAGTTAAAATCCATGGAATACAATAAAGTTTGGATCTCGTTGAATTGCCAGAAAGTTCTAAAAGAATCGGGTGTAAATGGATCTTTAAGACCAAGCGTGATTCAAATGGCAATATTGAGAGATACAAAGCCAGACTTGTTGCCAAGGGTTATACTCAGAAAGGAGGCATTGATTATAAAGAGTCCTTTTCACCGGTCTCAAAGAAAGACTCGTTAAGAATTATTATGGCTTTGGTGGCTCATTATGATTTAGAGTTACACCAAATGGATGTGAAAACTGTCTTTCTTAATGGAGATCTCGAGGAGGAAGTTTATATGGACCAACCAGAGGGTTTCGAATCTAAAGGAAAAGGTCAAATGGTCTGTAAACTGAAGAAATCAATATATGGACTTAAACAAGCTTCACGACAATGGTATATAAAGTTTAATGATACCATAACATCTTTTGGATTTGTGAAAAATACCGTTGATCGGTGTATATACCAAAAGATCAGTGGGAGCAAGTTTATATTTTTAATCCTATATGTTGATGATATTCTACTTGTTGCTAATGATTTAGGCATATTGCGTGAGACTAAAGATTTTCTTTCTAAGAATTTTGAAATGAAAGATATGGATGAGGCATCATATGTGATAGGAATAGAAATACTCCGTGATAGATCACAAGGATTATTGGGATTGTCTTAGAAAGGCTATATCGAAAGAATTATAGAGAGATTTAGTATGAACAATTGTTCGGCTGGAACTGTTCCAATTCAAAAAGGGGACAAATTTAGTCTCATGCAATGCCCTAATAATGATGTAGAGCGAAAAGAAATGGAATCAATTCCTTACTCTTCTATTATTGGTAGTTTGATGTATGCTCAGACTTGCACAAGACCGAATATTAGTTTTGCGGTCGGAATGTTGGGAAGATATTAGAGTAACCCAGGAATTTATCATTGGAAAGCTGCAAAGAAAGTTTTGATGTACCTAAAAGGAACGAAGGATTACATGCTCATGTATAGGAGGTCCAAGCATTTGGAAGTTGTTGGATACTCGGATTCAGATTTCACTGATGTATTGACACTAGAAAATTCATGTTAGGTTATTTATTCCAATTAGCTGAAAGAGCAATATCGTGGAAGAGTGCCAAACAGTCTTTCATTGTTGCATCCACGATGAAAGCAGAATTTGTGGCATGTTTTGAGGCCACAATTCATGCATTATGGCTGTAAAACTTTATTTCAGGACTTGGGGTTGTCGACACTATTACCACGCCACTGAAAATTTACTGTGATAATTCTGCAGCAGAAAGATAAGTACTCCAAAGGTGCCAAACATATGGAATTAAAGTACTTTACCGTCAAGGAGGAAGTTCAGAAACAAAGAGTGTCACTTGAACATATTAGAACTGATCTCATGATTGCAGATCCGTTAACGAAAGGTTTACAGCCAAAGATATTTAAAGAACATGTACATAGAATGGGTTTTGGCTGTATTTATAATGTTTTGACACTCTGAGCTCATTTATATGTTTCTGATATACATTAGTGATTTCCTGTTTCTCATAATGGTGTACACATTATTGTTTTGAGATGTTGCAGGATAAGTCTCAATGAGATATTATTGTGGACCATAATATTTTATAGCTTATGGACCGGTACGATGAGTTTCTAAGGTTGTAGTATATGGAAGAGAGTATGTAGATAAATTATATATAACCGGCATAACTCACATTTAGTAGTTTATCGTATTATGGTATTTATGATGGACATTATAGAAGAGATTTGTTTATGCGCAACTAATGTTCCTATATTAAATATTAATATTATGTAGTTATTGAGCCAAGTGGGAGAATGTAAGATTTTCTTACGTTAATTTATTGGTGGCCCAATAAGATTAGGCCCATAATTAATATTTAATTAATGAGCAAATCTCATCCGTCCGATTGGTTACTTGATGGACGTACCGGATTAAATAAGAACCTCTATAAATTGGTCCTCTCCCCACCCATTAGGGTTACCGTAGTTTATTCTCTCTTCCATCACTAAAGTCGGTGGTAACGAAAGCTAAGGCAAGGGGCGAGAAACCAATTTCAATTAATGCTTCCGTTTCAAGATAATGGATTCCGCTTCAGGTATGTTTTCTATGACGATTATATGTAAAATTATCATGTTCAAAATCCTGGCATGCAATTAAAGTTTATGTTTACACATAGTCCTCCCAAGTGTTCTCAAATTCAGGCAGGTTCTTCCACTTGATTAACACCTCTCATTTATCATTAAGTAGCTTTCTAATTTGCCTCACTGCTTCAGGTTCAACTTGAAGCTCCAATTCTATTATAAGAAATGGAGGTAGGTCTTGAGTAGGTGTAGTTGGTTGCAAGCATTATCTTAATTGTGAAACATGAAACACTGAGTGAATGTGTGCTCCAACAGATAACTCCAACCGATAAGCTACGGGATCAATCTTTGAAGGCCATAAAAACGGGGACTGAGTTTTTCATTAATCTTCTTAGCCAGAGAACGTAGTTTGTATGGCCGAAGTTTGAGATACACTGTTTCTCCAACCTCAAAAGTTACTTCCCTGCGATGTCGATCAACCTGATTTTTCATTCTTACCATGATCAACTTGTTCATGGTAAGAAGTTTCCAGTTTACCCTCATCTCACCCAAAGTGGCTAACCATTCCATCCCTAATACTACATCAGTTCCAATTAATTCAAAAAAAAAATATTGTTGGTGAATTTTTACTCCCTGCACGTCTAACCTCAACCCTTTGCATACTTCATTCCCGCTAACTTGTTGATCATTACCAACTGTTACTTCAAATTTATTTGTCTTTTCAATAGGTAATTGCAGATGACGAGCAAGCTTGGAAGATACAAAATTATGGGTAGCTCCACTGTCTACCAAAACTATCACGTCATGCCCATGAATTTTTCCCACAAGTTTCCATGTTCTTTCTCCAGTAAGGCCCACAACCGAATTCATATTCAACACCATCATAGTAGCCTTTTGTTCTCCTTCATTTGCGGCCTCTCCGGCGACCTTAAAGAATTCTTCTGTTTCCTCTTCCTCGGTATTAGGTGCCTCTGAAACAATCAAGAGGTTAAATTGCTAATTCTTGCAACGATGGTTATGGCCAAATTTTTTGTCACATCTAAAACATAACCCTAACTCTTTTTTTCGGGCAATTTATGAATCGGACAGCCTTCTGAATCGTCCCTCGGATTTTGCTGCAGAAGACACGCTGAAGCCAGTTGGCTTTGCTGAAGCATGCAATTGCGAATCAATGTTGCGTCCTGCTGCTCTGACTCTTGAATCACGTGCTTCAAGTACGTTTGTGACCTGAGAGTAATTGGGTATAAACCCAACTTGTTTGTTGCTCGAACTTCATGTATTTGGTTCAGATTTAAACACTTGAACTTGCTCCAAAATAGAATTGTGATTCTCTATCTTTTGAGCTATCTCCATTATCTCCCTCAATATTTGAGCCCGCAAAAAAAATCACTTCTGCTCGCATTTCCTCTTTAAGACCATTCAAAAACACTCCAGATAACAATCCATCAAATTCCTCCCTCATAGAACCTGTCACCTTCTCAAATTCTTCACGAAACGCTGCAACAGTGGTGTTCTGCTTTAGCCTCATTAAGACAACATACTGGTTGCTCTTCTGCGAATGATGAAATCGGTTTAGCAGCTCTCTTTTGAAGTCTTCCCAAGTTGGAACTGGTTGTCTAGACTCTAACCAATAATACCAATTTAAAGCTTTTCCTTCTAAACAAACACCGGTTGCCTGCAATCTTTCTGCTTCAGAAACTTCATTCACTGCAAAGTATCGTTCCACTCTACAAATCCATCTCATAAGATCCTCTCCTTCGAAAACTGGTAGCTATAGTTTCCGAAATTTCTTCCCATCTTTTTCTCCAGCCAAGTTAACATTACTTCCTTCTCCTTGGCTTCCCAAAATTCTGGTTTGAGAAGGGGATGCTTCTGCAATCACAGTTCTCCCTTGTGCTTCAATTCTCGCAAGAGACTCTCATTTCTTTGAATCATCCTTCCAGCCTTCTAACATCTTCTCTTACCCCAGTCAAATTAGTTTCCACTTGCTCAACTCGTGCCTCCATTTTACTCCTTACTATACCCGAACATCACCGCTCTGATACCAAATTGATAGAGTTTATTGCACAAATAGAAAATAACACGAAGAAATACACTGAAAACACAAAATACTTCAACAAAGTCTGAGGATAACCACTCCAACACCGATAACTCCTAAATTACAACATATAACATTCTAGACTGAATAGNTCAGTAATCCTAAGTCGCGTCATGTCCTGTCTGATCACCTCTCCCCAATACTTCTTAGGTCTTCTTCTACCTCTAGACTGAATAGAAAATGATTAAAATCAATACTAGCGACAAAGAGCCAAAATACATATTACTAAGATTACGCAGACATGAAATTTCTAGACATTCGAGAGGCTAGAACTCTCCCAAGGATTCTTTATTTTTCTCTTGAATATTTTCCCCTACTGCTTCCTTCTTTCTCCGGATAAAACTGCCCAACATAAGAGTAACTGTCAACAGACAGTTACTAAGTTTTCAATTTGTTATTTTTGGCCCTCCTGGAATAAGTTTTTATAACAAGCTTATCACAATCACAATTAATAACCTCTCAAAAATGTACCACATACAAAATGGTCTACTGAAAGTGGTCAATACAAAATGACAACTTTTCTTACCTAAACTATCAAAATTTGATGCTAAACTAGAAAGGATTAAATCAACTTAATATCAAACTTTACCTATGATACAAAAGCAAAATGGTACAGTTGCCTCCTGCACCCACCCCCCTCTTTTTTTAGTCCTTTTTTTTTTGGGGGGGGGGCGGGAACTGGGCCTTTCTGCTTCACTTTGCGACAAGTCTGCGGTCCACATACCAATTCTGCGGTCGCATAATGCGTCGTANGGGGGGGGGGGGTGTTGTAGATTCTACATTCCTTGGGGAAATCAGTTTTCTAATTTAAACGAAACAAATTGCTCTCCTTCCCTCAAAAAGGTAAAGGCAGAAGGCTGCAGTTAAGAGCAACACAATCTGAATTGAGCCAACTCAAGCTTCAACCTTGGCCACCTTTCTCTGTTCTACTTGACCTGTTAGAGGGCACTGCATTTCTGTCCAGCTAATTGGAACCATGGTACCACCTGCAAAAATTTACCAAGCACCTTTTAGGAACCTAAACCCTGCAATCCGTAACATGTAATGATTTAACAAATAACATTTTCCTAAATATACAGAGTAGCTTCTACAACTAAACAGGCTATGATATCAACTCAAACTGCATCTAGCATCTAGCAAGATGCAAACGCAAAGGTCTTTATACAACTATCCCTCCATATGATAATGTTTGGAATTCAAATTTTCTCCGTTTGGAGAAACTGCTTGCACAAGAAAGTTAACTTCTAATTGATCCATTTACTAGATATTTAACATGCCAAACTACTCATGTTGATGCCTGTTTGATAAATTTATCACCGCGCAGCATCCTCAACGACAATCATTTCAAGTGGAATTACTTTGGCAAGCGACGTTTCTATTTCAACTCAATATTCAGAACAAGTCAGTCATGTTCTGAATCAAATCTAAATAGCATCAACAAAGTTGAAAGGATATGGATCATCAAAATACAAAGAACAAACAGGATAGTTGATGAAGAAAGCCTTACCAGCTGCACTTTCAGCAGATACAACACCCAGCTCATTTTTTGCAGTTGACAGATAATATGCCCGTGCATCTCCAAGTGATAGCTTTTCAAGAAAGAATATAAAGGAATTATACTCAACACTGGAGCAAGTTAACAAACTTCACAAACAAGTTCCACGATATAACAACTAAGATTCCCAATATTGCCAACTTTAAGTACAAAAGGCCAATGGCTCGTATGGATTCTCAAGATGGACTAAAATGCAACTTTTAACCTGCATTATAGCACTTATTTCTTCTGAATTTGGGATTCAACCTTACACTGTCCCCCTGTTTGCACTTTTTTACTTCAGTTCCCCCAACGATGTTACTCGCTCTTTAAATTGCCTTAGCTGGCTTCTGGGGATTGCATTCGCTCAAAAATTCTAATCTTGTATTAGTCATAAAGTTTAACAGGAGATTACCACCAATGCACGAACAATATCACCCGGGCGGAAGGACAAATGCATGTCGACTTTGTCAATCTCAGTCGCTCTCACATCCTGTTGCCTGTTGATTCAAAAAGAAGTTTTAGATTTTCTGTGCCAAATCTTGCAGCACTGTAGAGTGTAGAGTATCAATGAATGTGCATATAAAGCAAGTCGACATGATAAAGACTGGGGAATCTGTTTAGTAATCCAGTAAGTAAAAATTACAGCTTAAAATTTAAGGCTCAGCTCTGATACTATTAGTACAATATCAACATACTGCTATCTGAAAATAGAAATTACTGCAATTCAGCATATAGAGCAAGTGGAGATGGAAAGCCCCATATGAGATTTGAGCACCAAGAAAAACAATAAGGAGGGTTGTTAAAGTGGAAATCAGTTTTAATGGTCTACAGCATCATGATTTACAAGCAGTAGACTGGCTTTATGGTGGATACTTGACAAACCAATGGGACGACTTTTATTGGAAAGGAGCAACTTCATACCAAAGATTACCTCCAACCTCCAAATGTAATAACAAGAAATACATTTTGCTCGTTGTGACACAATTCAAGATGGAAGTTGAGACGTTTTGACAGCTCCACAAAAACAAAAATTACATGTTAATTTTACACCGATAACCACTAGACTACATTTTTCCCACACGAGTTAACTCTTTTATTTAACCTGGAACCACATATTAATTAGAGTATCAAATTTTCTTTTACACCCCCCCCCCCCCCCC